CTCAGGTCATAAGGAGGTTCTTTTTATCCTGAAATGCCACTGTGTACAGGACACCCTTTCTCTCCCCCATTTCTTCTTATTCCTGTTCAGTCTTCGTTCTGCATTCATAAGAGGCAACTGATAATACAAATTTTCTTACAGGGGTAAACCTGTTTGTCTGACAGTTCACACAAACATTAAAAAGGGAATGCATTCCTGTGGTTTACCTAGATGAAAATCCTTTAGATTCCCAGTGCCTGGAAATTATTCTCAGTTCCTTCCCAAGGGATGGAAATTATTTCTCATGGGAAGGAAAGCTGAATAAACACAATATATGTATATATTAAAGAAAATGCCACATATAGTATATAAAACTATGAGAAAACCAAAAATGAAGTATAAAGAAAAAAATTAAAATCTTTATACTTTGTGGCATATTCTATTAGAATCTGTTGTAGTTCAGGAACAAAGGTGACACAAAACCAACAAAACTTTTGCTTCCTCTGATGATTAAGGGGATGTGATATTTACTAAGAAACTCTCCTGTTCCTGCCTTGGACAGCAAGAGAACGTGTACCTGTGGCAAATTAAGCAATTTGGTAATGACTCTTGTTTGTCTAACTCCATTCAGAATGAATATAGAAGACAGTTTGGAGATAAAATATTTCAGTGGAATACAATAAATCCAAAGGGCTTAGTCTAACAAGAATAAAATATGCTTAATTTGGGATCTTTTTGATTTTAGTGTATTCATATACTAAGTTAAGCCCTGTTGGTGTGATATAGACTGGAACCCAAGAGAACACCATTCAGGGAATGGGGATGATGAATTAACTGCAGTGGAAACATTTTGCCCTTACAGGAACTAAATATAAAATTGGTTTTTACCATGTATGGGCATTTTTTATATTTTAATCTTTTTATGACAATATTTTATGGCTTGTGGGTAACAGCCAATCCACGTCTTATGGTGCTTAGTTAATTATGTTAGAAAAATTGACATAATTTTCTAGCTGTAATCGGTGTTTCTATTATTTTGTTTTTCTAATTCTTTTATAAACCGTTTGCTGTATTAGCAGTACAGTTTTCATTCCAATAAACATTAGAATATCTACATGTCTTTCTTGAAGTAAAACTCTCCTAAATTTAAGACATTGCTTATTCTAAATCACAATATCAGCTAATTAGAAACATTCCATGGCAGAATATGTTTATAATTGACTAAGAATGGTTGTTTCTTTTTAATTTTCTGCAGTTGTCATTATGATAGGGAAGTAGTACTCTTCTAATAAGCCAATATCCTACCTGCTGGGTTGCACTTCCTGTTTCCTGCATTTATAGAAGAGAACTATGAAAATGGTGCTCCCATATCTTGCTACTCAATCCACATAGTCTGTTCTATTAGCAACTGGGCTTTTAGAGAGTGTAAGTGGTGCCTTTTTTGCAGATGTGCTACACTTTCTTCATGCCATGACCGGATGTAAACTCACACCCAACAGCAGGATGCTGCACCACTGTGCTGCCTATTAGAAATGAGAGAAGGGCTTTATGACATTAATATTTACAATTTGCTTACATGGTCACAGGGCTCCCAGTAGGGTCTGTGCATGGTCAGCAAGTTCTCCTCTGTCTGCAAAGCACCCATATAGAGCAATGAGTTTGCAATTCTCTCCGTGTGACCTCTCATAAAGGCAAGCCAGATATAACATTTTAAATAGAATTAGATCACATGCTCATAGGATCATATGTTGTGAAAATAGGAAGGCTTAAAGTGCAGGCAGTTTGAAAAATCCCCTTTCTGAAAGCTCTCTAGGGTATCAGACAGGGCAAGTATTTGGAACTGGTTCTGAAAATACTAAGAATATTAAGAATAAGACAAAGAGGACCTACTTTCTCTTGAAAGAAAATGCTACGGAATTTTAGACACAAATATTTTTAACCCCATGATTTGAATTAAAAATACAAATAATAAATAAATCTGTACTTACTACCAGACACAACTATAAATAAATGTTGCCAAATACTCATGAATATTTGTGATTATAAAACTACCAGATTAATTTCTTTTTCTTCCCAGAAAGCATGTCTAAATAGAAATAAATTCAAGGAATGTGTGATCTGCTTGTGGATAAGCCTTGAACAGAAGGAGAGGTTAACATTTTTAGCTAAATTATGCATTGCAAATGGCTCACTCAGTTTTTTATCATTTGCATAAATGGCCCTGGTTCAAAATCTCACTGATTGATTGCAATGGAAACAATTTTACTGGCTTAATTTTTTTTCTTTCTTTCTTTTTTTTTTTAATCACTATAGGGCTCAAAACTATAAGATGGGGAGAATACCAGAACAACATCTCCATTTAAAAAATACTTTCTAATCTTAATTAACATTGCAATCAAACTGTTTTTGTAAATTAAGTTCTATAACTGACCATCTGGAATAAAGAAGTTAGAATTTTAGTGAAAACAGTTTCAAGTTTCAGACAGAAATCCTAACTACTAAGACCAGTATTTCAACCTATTGAGCTATTCTTTTTAAGGAGAAGAATTTCTCTGAGTAGCTGTCATCAGATAACTTTGTATTTCAGGAATATTGAAGCAGAAAAAACACATGCTATTAGTTACTTTGCTTCTGTTTACGAACATGGTAATGAATTGCTCAGAGGTTTGCAGCAGTGGGTTCTGAGACATGGAAGGAGGAAAGCAAGGACTATCAATCAATTTTTGTGAATTTTCTGTATTATTTATAAGACTCGCATCTTTCAGCAACATTACTTAATGTATACTGTTTTCAAACGATTTATAGTATCCTTATTAGTCTGATGAAAAGCAACAACCATTGAATTGCAAAAAACCAAACCAAAAAGTGCTAGGTAATATAAGGTATTTTAAAAAGGTCATTCAACCACTCATATTTGTATTATTTCTCCTTTAGTTGAAAAATTCAGGAAATGTTATGGCTTGAGCTAAGAAATAAATAAAAAGCTTCATCTTTATTTCATTAGATGACTAAAACATGACTGAAAAAAATCAGAGTTTCTATGTGCTTAAGTCATGAATGGGCTTTTTCTATTAATTATTTTAAACTGACTTTCATAAGGCTGTTGTAAACTGCAGAGCTGTATAGTGCATATAGATGTCCTACAGATACTTGCTTTTGTTTTTTACTTCTCTGCATCATCCTTACATGTTTTGTAGTCATGTTCTGATCAGAATGGATAATTTTGCTGTCAGTGTAGTCACAGTCAAAGAAAATATGAGAACATTTACAAGGCTCATCAAGATTTATGAACCAATAAGGAGCCTAGACTAAGGGGTTTGAGAAAAATAGACTAAATCCTATGCTATACATGCTAATCCTATTAAAGAATTTTTAATTCTGGAGTAGTTGCTATTTCTGATGCACAGTCTCTGCAGAAACATGGCTTGAAACTTGGGATCTGCAACTTGCAAATTTTTACTTTATTTTAATTTTTACTTTATTTAACTAAATTCATTACTTTTCCAGTTTTTATCTCTTACTGTGATTTAATTGGTAGACTCCTCATAGATAAATGCCATTCATATATATTCAAAAAACAAAATCTCTTTGATGTGGTTTTAAATTGCAAACGATTCTCAGTTCTTGCAGTTCATATTTGATAAATGTGAACTACAAGGAACTTCACATTTGTATATAAGAGCAGAGTTGAACCATTTGCATATGTCTTGCTTCCCAGATTTGGCCCAAAGTCAGGCAAAGCAACTGAAGTTCTGTGAGCAAAACTAAATCCTTGATGTAATTCTCCTACTTGGAAAATAGGCTAGGTACCATACTAGAAAAATCATGGCCAGGTATCCCCAAGGAATTACTGCAGTATAATTGTATTACCTTATTTTAACCTAAAGTGTGATCTAGATAGAATTTAAAATAAACTGTAGGTCTGAGTGAGAATATCGACTACACTAGAAAAACATTTGTTGAACATAAGATTGATTTTTTTTGTCTCTTTTCATCCCCATTTTTAAGTGAGCCAACGGATATTTCTGCAGGTTAGAAGAACAGTCAAGCTTTAAGAGCCTTGCACTGTGCTTTTGTCCAGAGGCATTTTAGGTAAACTTGAGAAAATACCTGACACATCTATCATTGATCTAAACTCATAAAAAACTAGTGGGTTTCTTCATCTGAGAAGGGTGTGGGGAATATTATTAAAAAGACTGACTACAAGAGTTAATATAAGAGGAATGGGTGTCTTAGAACTAGTGGAGACAGATATAATGAGAAAAACAAAAAGTGGTTAAACTTTATCTAAATGCATTAAAAAGACTATGATCCCTCAATGTTACCATAACTTAGGTGTTAAGTCGATTGTATTGATTGCAGCTGTGACAGTGTAAGGATACAAATTAGGTAAAGTTTGTAGGAAGATATAGTATCTTTATTCAGATCAATTGTTATAGCTTGAGAAAAGAGGGAAACTTTTGGATCCATAAGCTCTTCTGCCATGAGAAAAAGAAGAAACAATCTTCAAAGCTATGTACAAGTTTTAGAATAAATGCTGTGGCTGTTACAAAGTACACTAATCAGGAGGAAGAACATGGTTGATAAGAAAATTCTGTTAAAGGACATGAGATGAATCTCATGAGATTGAGATGAATTAAAGATGAGATCAATTACTATGATCCATGAAATTATTATCTCTAGAGTTGATGATTTTGAAATCTGATGATATTGTTTTGTTTTCCATCCCAATCTTTTAAAGTCTGTTTTGTTTCATTTTGTTTTTTTAGTTTAGTTTTTTATTGAACAGTCACTGAGAGGTGAAGGTAACAGGACTTCTGTTTTGAGAAATTTAGCTGAAAGCCTCATCACCACTAAGAGAACTTCAGCACATTTTTTACATGATCTTATTCTGGTGTGTGGTGATTTTTTAATTTGGTACCAGTAATTTACATGTTTATAAGTAATGACACATTTGTGTGTGCTACTCAGTTACAGTCAGCTTTGATTTGGTGCCTAATCTTGGAAATTTTGTTTCTGAGGACAAATGTAGTTGTGAAGTCAAGAGGACAGTTGAAGACCAGTTTCTAGGAATCTTTCTTCTCCAGGTAGGATCCTTGTTTTATACAACTCTTATTATACTCTATAAGTCCTAGATTATTCTAGTATCCAAAGCAAATAACTGTAAAAATGTGTAAGCAAGTTCAACATTTGTTTTCTCTGTATTCCAAAGTCACTCTCTACAAAGTATTTGGACTCTTCTCTGTAAAAGTCTGCTTGCTGGGAGAAACCTCTCCTCTAGTTTGTTGAGGTGGGAATCAGAACCATGTTCCCCATAGCATGCAGAAGTGCTTTCTGCATGTTCTCATGGTAATTTAATATATTTACAAGACAATTTCCCAGAATTATTACATGTGCAATACACATCAATGACAGCATTTTCCAGTATATTGTGGGATAACTCCTCATAATAAAGTCAGGAAGAAAAAATCCCTGACAGTCAATTCATTCAATGTTTCACTAAATTTGGTGGAAGGCTGCAGGCAGATTTATTCCAGCATTCCCTAACCTATAGTTAATGCAAACTATATTCACTGCTACCAAGCAAAAGGTAGAAACATTTCAATCAGGTTTTCCCCATAACTCCTGCCTCAATTTAACTTAGATCTTTCCACAGCTAGGGCAGTTTCACATTCTCTGAAATTATTGAAATCCAAAATTAATTTTATCTTATTGTGCAAATATGTGAACAAACTCACATTCTCTATACCACAGTTTATGTTACAAGTGAAAACAAAAGCTAAAAAAGGCATTTCAGGAAAACTTACCAGAAGAATTATTGCACCCAGATGCCATTAATTTGAAATGAAGACAACATTATCATTTGAACAAAAGCTGTTGCAGCAAGATTTGGGGCTATGCTTCCTGATAAGAATCACGAAAAGCACTGGTAAAAGAATGCCTACCTGAAGTCCATTTATTCTGTTTTGCCTCTCAGCCCCCCACCCCCCTCCAGGTTTGTATTCTGTCTTTAAATGCATTTATTTATGGAAAACCTGATTCCCTTCTGTTCTCAGCGTAATTGGACATATATGTAAGACATCTTAGACTTAAAGCTTACTACTTAAATTCTTGCTAAACAATCAGAAGTACATATTTTAAAACAGGATATTGTTTTTTCTCAGCAGAGTAGCATTTAAAGTGTGGTGCTTGTCAGGTGTGTTCCTCATTCTATTTCATACTTAGTTTTAGAAGAAATTTTTGGAGAAAAAGTCATTTAAAGTCAGAACTGCTGCAAGCTCAGCAGTCATTGCCATGAGATGGCAATGAAAATATTAAACTTTAATTTAATCAGTCAGTTATATGAGATTAATTTACAAATGGGAATCACAGACTAAAATACATAGAAAATTTGCAATATATCCCTGAATTTGTTGCTCTGTTCTGGGCAAGATTAAGAGAACCTGGACAACTAAAGAGTATTTGGATGACTCAAAGATTTTTGCATAAAGGCATCTTTAGAAAAAGAAAAGGGAAAAAATAGTCAGACAAAAAAAGGAAAAGCCAAAAACCAAACTGACAAACAAACCTCTGTTAAATAGAATTCAGAAGTACTGATTCCAAGCTGTTGTCAAAGCTTTATCTTTCCTGTCTTTGTCATAAAAGTCTTTGTGGTTGTAAACTACTTCAAAACTTTGTATTCTTCCTGTAATTTTTTGAAACTGGAGAGACACTCAGGTGTCCAAATTATAAACAGCTGTGCCATTTCAGATCCTCTAAAGCATTTAGGATTTCCTGATGAAGTTAACAGACATGACACTACAGAAAGAGAGAGCTATATATAAGAGAGCTACTGGAAGCTAAGCAGGACACGTGGACTGCTTTAATTGGCTCTAGACATTAATATTTAAGCAACTAAATCTTACCATAGATTTTAAATTACTAGAAACATTATATTTTCTTACTAAAATTTGGATTTGGTTGCCTTATTGTTAATGTTTTCCAAACATCTTCCCCTCTCTTGTTCTCCTTTAGACTTCTTTCACTATGATGAGTTTTGAAAATGTAGCAGCCCAAAAAATTATAGCTGAGACCTACCCACATTAAGTAGAATGACTTATTCCCCAAATATATATTATCTCATTTTGGATATAGTCTTTTTTTTTTATGTCAACCTCTTTCAAAATTCACTTTTTTTTTTTTTTGCCTGAATTCATAGCAATTTTAATTTACCAAAGCCAAGGTATTTACTAAAATACAAAATATTACAGATTTGTTAGAGAGTATTTCAGCTGTACAGAGGCCAAGGACTGTGATGAGAAGGTTGAGTGCTTATGGGTAGGAACCTGGGGAAAGGCTAACAAGGCTGATATCCTGGAGGGAGTCTGATATAGAGCATCCAACCAGCATGAAGAGATAGGTGAAGTATTCTATATTTCAGTGGCTGAATAATGTTTTAAGATTGCTTATTCTTGTCAGAGACTTTTTTAACTTGCTGAGTGTCTGCTGCGAGCCCAACATGGTGGAGAGCAGGGAGTGTAGGAGGCTCCTGGAGGGTGTAGAAGGTAACTTCCTGACACAGTTGTCAAGTGAACCCACCAGTGGCGGGACCCCATTGGACCTGCTGCTTATGAATTTACAAGGGCTGGTGGGAGACATGGTGGTTGGAGGCTGTCTTGGACACAGCAACCATGAAATGGTAGCATTTTCAATCCTTGGTGGAATAAAGAAGGGGGTAAACAAAAATTTTCTTCAAGAAACATCATCTAGTGCTATGGTCTAGTTGGCAGGCTGGTGCTCATTCAAAGGTTGGGCTCCGTGATTTTGTAGGTTTTTTCTGATCTTAGTGATTCCATGATTCTATTCAGACTGTGATCCATTCCAGAAGAACACACTACCCTTACTAGTCAGGTATCACAAGTATGATTTCTTTGGGTATCACAAGTATGATTTATTATTTATCTGGTCCATTTCCAATATTCTAAGACCTAAAACCCAGAGGCATTATAACTTTAACAAATATAACCCCATATTCCACAAATGGACCTGCTCTTAATATTCACTCCTTTTTGTTCAGCTGGGGACTCAGTCACACACGATTTCATCTTCACCATTTTTTGTTATTTTGCATATGAGAATGTTATACAAGACTTTTTGAAAAAAAGTATGTGATACACATACAAAAGACTTTTTGAAAAAGAGTATGTGATACACATACTACCTTCCTACAAGAGCAATAATCTCACCAGTGAAAGGAAATAAGGCTTGTTACAAATATCTCAATTGTACTAATGCCAGATTTTGTGTATGTTTCAACATCTCCTAGGTACTAGAAGCTGATTATTTAATCCTTTGTTTAAAGTGTTTTTCTTCTCTCCTACTCTCCCTGGAATGGACTGATTAGTAAATATTTTTGCATTCTCTCTTTTTTCCACTGGCCTAAATTTTAAGACCAGACTTACCTATGTGATCTGGATCACCTGAAACCAGAAACAAGGCCACCTGTGTCAGAGCTCCAAGTACATCTTCCTCCTCTCCCTGCTGCTAATCTGGCTGACAGGCCCAAGGTGGAGGCAGCTCTTTGCTTTGCAGAGGGTCACCAGCAGTACTCTGTAAGCATGTCCCTTTTTGCTTAGGAGCTGCTGTAGCTTGGCATTGCTGTTTCTGGTAACAGGCAGCAAGTTTTTATGAGTTTGCAAGGCCTCTAGATTGACGTCAATTTTTTCTTAATCTTTCTTTACCTGTAGCTTTGTTTTACTTGCTTTATGACAGAAATTTCTCTAATTGGCCAAATGCATTTGTCTAACTTGTTTACATATATGTGTGCGTGGCATATTTGCCATGCCCATTAACAACATGCTGAGAGTAAAAACCTTTTTGAGGTGAGTTCTCACACCTGGGTCCCAACCAAAGCTGTTCTGCATCAGCCCTGTGGCTGTTAACAATGCTGGTCAAGTATGCCCTTACGTTCCATGCTGTTTTTGGATCTGATCCTGACTGGATATGTGAGAGGCATGTCATGGCTATGAGTTTGCCTGGCAAGCCTTGCTTCCTGGCTGCTCCAAAAGGTCTCTGGCCTGCCATGCTCAGGGTTGCTGGGCAATGCCCTGCACTGAGAGCCCCCACACTACAACATGCAGTGCTTGTTGAAAGCGAATCATCCACGAGGGCTTGGAGCCAAAGCTAGTGTCATAACGATGACTTTGGTGTTTATTTACACATAGATTTGTGTCTAAATAAAGGTGGTGTGAAAAGGGAATTATGGTGGTTTTGTATTGATTAAGTTCTTTTTTGTTTTTTTTTTTTTTTAACAGAAGGTGTTAAAACTTTTAAAGGTAGTATTGCAGTTGGGTTAAGGGAAGTAATTGACTCAGTCAGATAGACAAAGAAAAATCTGGATGAAAGCTTTCTATGAAAGCTTTCTCTTTCCATTTACTCAAATAAAATTGAGCGACCTCACCAAATTTTTTGTTGTGTGTTACTCCTTTCCCTTTCCTAATTATAAGAATTAGGATTTGCAATACTCGATTAGAAAAAGTGCTACTTAATTATAAGCTATTTATATGTTGCAATTCTTCTTTCTTTGTTTAAATTTAGAAAGCTAGGCCAGAAAAATTGGGCTAGTAATGAAAGTTGGTTAAAATGGTGGATTTAGTTTCCTAGATAAAACAAATTTTAATATTTTTCTCCTTTATAAATCTATACCAGAATGTTGGTCAGAATAGTCTTGTTTTGCTTTAATACAAGTGGATTTTAACAGAGTGAGGCAGGGAACACATTCTAATAAGTACAACTTTTAGAAAAGTTGTTTTTTTCTATAAACAGAGAAAGGAACAATTCCAAGAGTGGGAGGGGAAAAGTTGCTAGATCCTGAATAGTCTTACTTTCTATAGGCTTGGGTTAAGTGTAAAGAAATAGATACTAGGAAAAAACCCCCCGAAAACGGCTGGCTATGCACCACTTTTCTTTAGTGAGTCTAATCAGTACCATGATTGCAATCTTAATGGGATTTTGGCATTTAAGAGATTTCTTTAGAATGACTGCCTTGTGTTTTGTTAATATCACATTTCTTATGTTCATAATTTAATTGTACATTATTTATGAATCT